AGGGCTTGGTATGGATAGTAGGGGGGATCCTATGCCGTTTTTTTCATTGCCGGCAATTTTCGTTAATGGTTCAGCTCTCAGCGGGGTTCCCCACTGACAGCTGATTGTAAAGACATGGTTGTCACTATTTTCTGACCTCCGGAATGGATTAATTGGTTTTCAATGTATTCCTATGGGAAACGGCGTTTTGGTTTATGATTTTATCGCTATACGAAAAGTCCCCCAGAACGAATTACATTCATAAACCGAGGTATGCCTGTAAATATAAACTGATACCTTTTTTCTCATCAGCAGTTAGAGCAGTCTTGTGACTTCTATCAGTGTCCAGTAGAGAACTGGTTAAAGCTTGTAGGAGGAGTTTTCATTCTCCCCTGATTGAATTTTGAGGCTGTATAACCCCTGACTCTCTGGACAGTGCTGATTGGCCCTGTACTGATCACAAGCGCACTCCCAAGTGAAAAGCTCTCTGGCAATACACACCAAACTGTGCAGCTTGCCCCAAGGCTCTGTTCCATCAGCACATTGATTGGGGACAGTAGAAGGGGAGAATCCAAAAAGACAGGTTCAAACGGCATTTTTACACACTGCGGAGGATTAACCCCTTAGGTTCCAAAGTGAGTATAACAAACCTGCTTTACTGCATATACAGACTGATTTTACTGTTGTGGGTTTAGTAAGTTCTGTGCTGGTTCCGAGCAACTTCTGAGATCCACACAGTGTCTCCTGCTTCTCGGACATCACTTCCAGCCTACCACCATGATGTAGTGGACACAGGACCAGGACCCAGAGGCTTTTTACTTTTATAAAATCAATCAAAAACACAAAATCAAGAAGAGCGTGCACTTTATAAAATTATATTTGCACTCTGCACTTAGATGGCGCTTCCTTTTCTTTTTTACATGTACAAATGTGAGCATAAGCCTGTACTGGTTTTCTGATGCTAGGAATGTGGTTTACCTTACATTTCTCCCCCCCCCCCCCCCCCCCCAACTGGGACATCCTTTTCAGAGTGGGCTTGGAAGAACTCTCTCACCAGTCTTGTGGCGTGAACATTGCATTTGCGCTCCCATGAGTTCTCCTCAGGATTATAACCTTTCCACTTGATTAAATACTGAATGAGGCCTCTCCTCCTTTAATCCACAGTGGCCTCATTTTCATACTCCTCTTCATTGCCAATCATGATCGGTGCTGGAGGATCCGGATTATGGCCAGGAAAGGGATCTGATACAGCAGGCTTTAGCAGAGATGCATGAAAAACTGGATGAATCCTATAGTTCCTATAGCAAAAGTTCATAAGCTGTTGGATTTATTACTTTTTACAGCAAATGGACCAATGTACTTGGGGCCAATTTCTTGGAATGGCAGACCAATTTCAAATTAGTGGTTGATAGCCAAACCCTATCCCCTGGTTTGAGGTCCAGGTCACTCCTCTTTTTAGCGAATAATTTTTTTTGTCCTGTTGGGCCTTGGCAGTAGCTTCCTGCGCAACATTGTTTGCAGGAACTTCAGTCGTTCTTGAACTGCCGGAACAGGTGAATCAAAGACTGTATCCGGTATGAAGGAAGGGTTAAATACAAAGTTTGCAAAGAATGGAGTTTGACCTGTAGCCAAATGGACAGAGTCCTTGGTGGTGAACTCTGCTAGAGGAAGGAGTGGAGCCCAGTCATGCATGAAAGAAGAAAAACACTGAAGATATTGCTTTAGAGTCTGGTTGTGTGTCTGACCATTTGTTTGAGACGTGGTTATTTTTGGCATATCACCCCCAATTTTAAGCTCTTTACAAAGTTCTTTCCAAAATTTGGACATAAACTGGTCCCCTCAGTAAGGTTGTATGAGGTTCCTTGGAGCATAACCTCTGACCATTTCTTTAACAAATGCTTGTTCAGTCTCTAAAGCCGATGGTGTCCCAATCATTGCTAAATGCACCATCTTGGATAGCTGATTGACTATCACAAAAATAGTGGTAAAGTTTTCAGCTGGTGGGAGCTGTACGATAAAGTCCATGTTAATCATCTCCCAGGGCTTGCCAGGAATGGGCAAAGGCTTTAACAAGCCCCTTGTTGTCTCCTTTGCATTGGATGCAGACCTCACAAGCCCCTACATAGCCCTGGCAACCAGACTTCATGCTAGGCCACCAAAAGGACTGTTGTAAAATCTCCAAAGTTTTGTGAATCTCAAAATGCCCCAGGAGGCAGGGATTGGCAGATGCCACCCAGGTAGGCAGGATTAGCATTACTCAGCAGCGGTCAGTGTAATGGACAGAAGGGAGGAGACTGTACTACCTGTGATCCAGCCAGCATGATTGGCGACCCCCCCCCCCCCCCCCACTTCAGGATGTGTAGTTGAATGTGGGCTGAAAGGCACCACTATACATGGCCTGAGGAACTACACTTCCCTCGAGAAACTGCGGGGCCTCCGCCTGTCAGAGCAGGTAAGTTGTTCCAAACCTCTTGGAGAACTAACTGCAGATTTTCTGTGGATGTAGGCTGCCTCAAATCCTTCTGTCTCTTCATGTAATCCCAGACAGACTTGATTGTTATTGAGATCAGGGCTCTGTGGGAGCCAAACCATCACTTCCAGTACTCCTTGTTCTTCTTTACAGGAAGTGTGTGTTTGTGTGTGTTTTTTTTCTGGAAAAAATAATCCATCTAGGGGCCAGTTTAATGCTGTTGTGCTTTCAGAAGAAGGGAAGTATTAAACTGTTGAATTGACGCTTGTAGATATAGCAGTGTAAACTAGGACATGTGTAACATGATTTGAGATTATAAAATTTTCCCAGAATTCCACAACCCTACAACTTGTACAAAAATACAGCCGGGCCCCTAGGTTGCAAATTGCCTGCCTGCATTTGTTACATGTGGCTTCACCCAAGAGTGGAAAGTGAGGGTGTGACTGTCTGTTACCATGTGTATTTGTTGTGTGGGTTTTTTTTTTTTTTTTTTCATATCAAAGGAATATTTCAGGCTTCTTTGTTGTCTCCCCTACTGCAATACTGCTTTGTGAATGCTCATTTTTCTAGCAGCCCCAGTGCTCATATCAAAAAAGCAGGGTGAGAAAATGTCCTTTTGCACAGTAGAGGAACAGAGAAAGTATATCAGTGGTTTTAAAGTTGTAAATCAATCTGTCTGACAGCCTCCTAAGACACAACAGGAAATTGGCTTTTAAGTGGTGTACATTGGTTCTTTAGGAGAACTGTAGACCCAGCGATTTGTACATTTTGCTGACATCTGTCAGAAGACATTCTGTGTTTTATAGCTTCATTAACTCTCGAAGAAACCATCTGCAGATCAGAAGAATTTGGTGAAGGGAATTGCTGCTTGGGACAGTCTCCATATTTCCATATTTCTCTCTGCACGAATTGCCTATAACTTGCAGAATAAATCTAGTTGTGTGGTGTTGTGTTTTTTTTTTTTTTTTTTTTTTTTCTTTACCTTTCTTCAGTTACTGGAACATGTCATACATCTCAGGAGGGGAAGGAGATGTTTTCCCAGCTAAGCACATGCTTGAGCTAAGGTCAGATGGATTCCAGAAAGCAAATGCTAGTGAATCATCTGCCCTTATTCAAGATGGCCACAGCCAGAAATTCTAGTGTTTTTTTGTTTTTTCTTTTTTCCAAGTGATTGCTCAACAAAATAAAGCATGGAGATGTGGGTGGATGGGAGAGTTTGCTTTGAATATTAAAAAAATAAATGTATTAAATAGCATTTTTAGGTGCTTAGATGCAGTCCTCTTTAATACACCCTTTTGAAACTGGGTGCAGTTTTTATAAATGGCACTGGGGAAAATGACTGCAGCAAAATGTTATAATGGTGTCCAGGACCTAAAGCTGAACTTCGGGCAGTTCTAAAAAAGCACAAATAAATGCAGCTCTGCAATTAATAAATTTAACCTGATCAAGGCCTTTTGTACAGCAGAGAAGACTGGGAGAGGGGAAAAACCCGTACTGTGCTACAGTGCTCATGTCCTAACTTGGAACTGCTGATGAAGCAAACTAGAAATGGTCTATGTGCTGTTTTCTCCTTTTTAACTTCATTCACAGGCTGCTGCTTAAAGCGGTAGTAAAAATCTGCTGACAAGCAGGGTTTTTATAACAGAATAGACCCTAGTGGTCTCTTCTGTCATAAATGTCTCCCCTGCCTGTCAATGGGTAGTGAGATCTGAGCCTCACATGCGCAGCTCAGACCACGTTACAGTCCACTCTGCGTGCTGTGGTGATGTCACTAGGGAGCGACCTCACCTGTGGCCCGATCATTCAGGTGGCTTAAGATTGAGAACCCAGAAGGAAGACTGGGCCAAGATAGAAGCTGCCGGAGACAAGGGAGAGGCGTGTTAGTGAAGTCAGCGCTGGAAGGCTCTGTCTGATGGTAGGTCTGTCATGTACTGGTATGCAGTGCATCCTAGTACATTTTGACCTAAGCCTGCATGGGGTACTTTTTTTTTTTTTTTTGAAAGAACATTACTTTATCACTTTAAGTCTGCATTCACACCTACAAACACGTCTGTCACCAAATTCATGTGGTTCTGGGTGATTTAGCTGTAGGAGGCAGCCCCATTGAAAGCATTAGGAGGCTGCTGGCTCCCACAGCTAATTGTGTCTGCTCACATATAATCGCTCATGCATCAATCAACTGCGAGTGATCGGCCCTGGATGCAGGCAGATAAAAATGAGTCTTTCTGTCCACCAGACAAAGCTATGCAGTCTTGGAACTGGATAGATAGATGTCCAAATCCTTTGACAGGTAAACGGGGAATTTTCCATAACACCCTGAAATCCCCAGTATGAGGGTTGGGGAAGCTGAGTTGTGTTGCCTTGTGCAAAAAATTGTAGCTTTGAGAATATTGGGCATGAAGTTGGTTAAGTATTTGTCCTGTGTATTTTGACTCTTCTATACCGCATTCATTTTATATTTCATCATGGAGGTTGTTTAAACCTTTCTTACAAAATCTAGCTTGTCATTTCTAAAACCTAGTAACATGGTGGTATTTCTTCTCTTTTGCAGAGTTGGTGTATTGGAAGACTCCTTTACCTGCCTGGGTATCTTCTGCGCCATCTTTTTTTTCCCAATTGGGATCCTGTTCTGTCTTGCCTTGAGGCAGCGAAGATGCCCCAACTGTGGTGCCACGTTTGGTTAAGAAGACAAACTGAGGCAGCGTTCTTTATCCTCCACTTCTTAATTTCCTCTCAGTGCACAATCCCTTCTCTGTAATTTAAATAGCATCTTTGTATCCGGGTGTATGAATAGTCTAAATAGGTGGGGGGGAGAGAATGACTCTGTGCCATAGAGACACATGGAAGTGTAACCCTTCCAGACACCAGTGCCTTCAGAGACTGTACCAATATCCCAACCCTTGGCTGATGTCATCAAGATAGATTCCCTTTGCTCGTGCTCACCTTGTTCTATGTCCGTTTGTGTCATGCCTTCTGTCTTTTGAAAAAACTGTTATTTTATAGTAAAATGATACAGCACTGTGATACAAGTTTGTCCTCATTGAGATGAACAAATTGTCTATGACACAGCTGCATCCTTCTTTCTTCTGTGTTTTGAAAGTATACAGATCCAAAGTGTTCCCATGATCCACTTGCATTGGGGAAGCCATTTTATCAACCTCTGTAACCCAAGTCTCTGTTCACACTACTGCTACCTGAAAGTCGCCAACTTGCAGTGCGACTTTGCCAGGCAACTTGAGTACTACTATGAAGATACTTTGAAGCAAGTTTGAAGCACCTTTCAGGGAATGCCTGGGTAGTATTCCTTTTATTGTCGGATCCAAATCACATCAATATAGATAGATGTCGCCTGCAAGTTGAATCCTTATTAAAGTATATGGACAGAAGTTGCCTTGAAGTAGTACAGGAACCTTTTCTAAAGTCGTAGTGACTTCAATAGTGCTAATCAAGACAGCTCTCATTGGCTAACATGGGATTTCACATTTCATGCGACTTGGGGTCCCTCAAGTTGGATCCCAAGTGTGACCGTGTGAACCGAGCCTCCGAAAGCAGCTTATTGATTTAATAAGAGCCAGTTATATTATTGCTAAACTAAATTTTTTTTCTTTTTTTTTGATGTTTTAAAATGCCTATCTTTTGTAGAATACAGAATTCAGATGCTTGTTGTTATTATTTTGCTCTCCGGCTTATTTCAATTGGTGTCTTGCATGTGGGATGTATACCACTGGTTGTACTTGAATGACCTGGAGTCAAAGTATGGAGAACCAGAAGGCTCACACGACGCTGGTTCCCGCACAGTGGTGCATTGAGGTTTCCACTGTCTAAACTTTTACTTATCTTGACTGACTGGATACTTTCTGCCCAAGGAAAGTACTACAGATATTTTAATTGTAAAGTTGAAGCTAGCCAATTAGAAAGCAGATGGATTTGATAAACCGTAGCGCAGACATTGTATGCTATTAAAAAAAACAACAAATTTTTGCAACAGCTGCCACTTTTTATTTCAGGGTCTATACTGTCAGGAAAATTTTTTGGGGAGTGGTAAGTAATCTTCAGCCATGTGCATTTTTAACAACATGTGCAAAAACAAAAAAAATGGAAGGAGGGGGCTCCATGTCAGCAAAAGTGCTAAAGGAGGGCCGTAGTGAAAATACAGTTTCTAATGACACTTGTATGCCATTGCTGGGCGTCTCGAGCTGCACGTTATTTCAGCTTTTTATTGCAGCCTAGTTTACCTAAAATAAAATTCAGCACAAGGGACGCTTTCAGTGAGATGTGTTCCTTGTGCTGCTTTGTCCTCCTTTTTGCTGAAATCTTTTTCTTCTCCAGTGCCCCACCCCCACTGCTGTAATCTTCTTGTGTGACGGGGTTAATAGATCTAAGAGGCTGTGGTAGGCACGCCATAAAGATTGCCCAACTATGCCTGCCCTTTCCGCCCAGCTGCTCCCATTCATAGAAGTCATTACTACAGCTTCCAGGAATTAAACCGGATCTGTGAATAGAGGATAGGAAGATGATTGATAGGTCCGCCCCCTAAATTCATAGGTCCTGTTTTCCTTCATGGAAGGGGCTTTGAGCACCCTGAAACTGGGATATTCAAAGATATCCATCTAGCTACTGCAGGCTTGGGCCCTGTCCTGCTCATGGCTCACTGACTACTTGTAAGTTCCTGGAGGTGCTTCTTATGCCTCACTGACAAATTGTAAGGCCCTGCAGGGGCCAAGTCAAAACTTTTGATCATCATAGCTGGTTGAGTTTCTTAAAGGATCCCCATGGGTTAGAGCCTCTGAGGTGCATCATAAGATGGATGCAGCAAACGGTGTTGAAAATTCACTCCCTGCTATGCTAGCTTAGGTTTTAGCTATCGTGCGTGTAAATTTTTTTTTCTTTTACATGAACTAGTTTGTAATTTTGTGTAATGGCTCTTTTTACTGTATCTCTCAACTTGTCAACTTCTGTTTCTCTGTCATCTGCAACTGTCACAGTACAGAGACCGGTATAAAACATATTGTATGTATGTGTAACAATAGGCAAGTCATGTTCACAGTGAGATGTATATTCCAATATGAAGGGCAAACCAGGAGAACTTGTATAAATGCAGTGGATAGGACCAGACCTGTCTGTATTGGGACAATGCTATGTGTGTAGTTAAGACAGTGATGTCAGTGTAACAGAAACAATTAAACCTTCACAATAAAACAATCAAAACTTCTTTAGATCTTGCTATATTTTTACTACAATTGATATATATAAACAGCAGTCTGAGATTATGTAATTCTTAGTTTAGGTTTGTATTGTTGTATGGTAACTTTTTTATTTTGGCTATTGCCAAATGAGAGGAAATTATATTGCACAGTCTTTAGAAACATAGGGCGATGGTACAAGAGATTGCAAATTGGGTTCCTTTATGGTACAGAAACACCTTTTTTAGGGTTCATGCACACTGGGCATAAAAATTCTACTTATACAGGTGTGGGTTTTTTGTTTTTTTTTTCCCCAGCCTCTAGAAGCAGCTCTGTTACCCTATGTGTCCATGCACATTAGGGAATTCAGGGACATTCGGGAAGGGCACTTAGTGGGGGAAGAAAAAAAACCCCTTAAGCATTTTTCTGCTTGAAAGCACCTCTCAAAATTGCAATTCTGAACGCACATAAATGCAGCGTTTCCAGTGTACATTAAAAAATGAGCATAGGGGAATGTTTTTGGGCAAAAAATTATTATTAAAGCAAATGCCCATAAACCAAATCTTGTACAATATGAGCATTTTTTTTTAATGCCGATCTTCTGTTCTTTACTTCTGCCAGAGTTTTTTTACTTTTTTTTTTTTTTTTTTTTTTTTTTTTTTTTTTTTTTATATAAACCCTAGTGTGCGTGTCCCTAATAGCTGTGATTTCGGCCATTAAGGATAAAGCGACCGATTCTGTTGGAAGAATCCCCTCCATCCACTCAAGCTTACCTATGTTGTGCTCTGTCGAAATGCTTAAAATACTGTAATGGAACCGGACCCCGACTGCGTTAGGGTATTTCCGTTAAGACTCCCGATTCCCTGTCCGAACACAGATCCACGGACACCACTGCTGATCATGCAGAAAATAAGACAGCACCAGACTCTCTTAAAACAGGAAGTCGACTGCTTTATTTTAACACAAACACAAGATCTATACACAGGGCGGGGAAATACAACCAGGAACCGGAAACACATCAGCAGGCCGACCCATCAGGGGGAAGGGCTGCAGGAAACACCCCCCCCCCCCCCCACCAAACCAAGACACAATAGAACAAAGGGTTACACCACATGGCAGTAGACCATACAGGAACACATACATCCCATAATAGTTTGCTGGCAACCAAGACACAATCGAACAATGGGATGCAGCACATGGCAGTGAACAATGGACAACCCCCACATAGGAGCTGAGACGGGTCCCCCCACCCCCAAAAGTCACTCCCGTCACAAATACCCACTGCTTCTGGGTTTGGGGAGGCATTTTGAAATCCTTTTGTAAATGTAACATGGAAATTGTGTAGTGTTTTGTACTCAATATCCAATGGAGGAACAGAATGATGGGGAAAGTGCTTGTAAGTTGACTACCAGTAGGTAGGAAGTAGTTTTTTATGAGTCAAACTGAAGTTCTGAAAATGGAAATGCATTAATTACTTCCACATTTCTGTTATGGCAGGTGTGCATGGCGTACTAGTTTCAAATCCAACTGAGCTTAAAAACATGAGGAGGTTGGTTATGCGCCTTACTGTGGCCTGGTAAGGGCCTCTCTAGTGTTGGAGCAGCTGTGTCCTCTGGGTGCTACATAATGTGGCAGTAAGGATATTTTGCCCTAACCCCATGGTCAGGAGACATTAACAAGTAGTATGTAATTCACGTGTCATGAAACCCACATCACAAAAAAAAAAAATCAAATGCTATATTACATGCTGTTCATACTCAGTCACTGTTGGATTCGTTTTCTGAATTTTACAAAAAAAAAAAAAAACCTGTTTTGATCCTGCTGTTCTCTTCATTCTCTCCATGTCTCCAATGCAGTTGGGGATTTTGCAGAGCAGTGTTGGCAGCTAGTGCACATGCTCCGTTTTCAGTGAGTTAGTGTGCTCAGCATAGAAACTCAATCTCCCTATCACACCTGAGTAGACCAGAGTCATTTGTGGGTGTATACACAGTGGTAAATGACAGCCCAAGCCTTCCCTCCATGCCTAATAAATGCAATTTTTTTTTTTTGTTTACAGTTTTATTTTTCAAGGGTAGACTGTAGAACAACAGTACAATTTCAAGTAATGTGTACATTAATAAGGCACATTTGAAAAGTACATTTCAGAAGAGTACATATATGTAAAAAAGATAGGGAGGAAAATGAAAGAGAAAAGATTTTAAGTACATGAGGAATGTAAATGATAAAGTGGGTTGAAAGATACATCTGTCAATAGCATATGCCAAATAACCTTCAAATGGAATGCTTTTCAGTCATGTAATGAATGTCTATGAATCCTCCATGATTCGCATTTTTTATTAAACAAGTGTCTTGTCCAGCAAAATATAATGAATACGCTCCATGAGCATCACAGCGTCAACTCTATGTAAAGCAGAGGCCAAGGGTACCATGGTGGATTTCCAATGTAGGGCGATAGCCCATAAAGTGGCAATACAAATGGTATGTATCAATCTCATAACAGC